AGAGAGAGAGAGAGAGAGAGAGAGAGAGAGCACAGAATGAAAAGAACGAAAATAAGAAGTAGATAGATAGATAAATAAGTGGATAGATGGATAGAGATAGAGAGATATTTCAAAGATGGAGAGAAAGAGGAAGAGACAGAATGAGACAGAGACAGAGAGATAGATTCTAAGTGGAGTGAGTATGAGAGAGAAAAAGAAAGAGTACCCCAAAAATATAATGTAGAAAAAAATGGGAGAGGGCGGGAAAGCAAGAAAGAGAGTGAGGGCGCGAAACAGAGAGAGAACGACTTTTGTAATAAAATATATTATGAAAAGTGATTCCACCTAGCTTCAGTTTCAGCGAGGAACACGTTTCTTATTATAGCAAAGAGCTGTGTGGGCTTCGTAGAAGCAGAGTTGGGCAATTATATTATGTATTCTTGAATGGATGCTAATTGAAAACTCTCTTTTTATCTTTTGGATTTCAGCGACTCCCTCTTTGCAAACCCCCTAACAACACCATCTTGAAATTGTAGCGTTTTCAAAACAAAGCCGCGACATATCGCCCTTCTTCTAAATTTGAAAAACTCAGTCTACCAAATATTAGCGCACAACAGCAGTTACTGCTTCCGTAATTCTGGCGAAACAATGTTTGGGAGATTTTGCTCTTTAAGTAGCCTGCATTAACTTTTTTGGGTCACCAGCTTCACTGCAATTAAAATGGAAATTAATAGGCCTACCCGAGGTCGAAAAAGATGTTCAAAGACTATTACTGAGGTGGCTCAATTAAGTCTCAATTAAGTTAATGCCTCTTTGGACAAGCATCTTAGGAACGCATTTGAGTATAGGAAAAGCAGTGGCGGTGGGTGGACCAAGATTTGGGTGGGGCTTAGCTTGCTTCCACTTCTTTACCACCAAATAGCAAGTAATAAGAACTAAACAGTGATGATTTTCTGTACTCACGGCGAGCTACGGCATTTTGAGAACCATTCAAACGAGAAGAGCCACTTTTGTCTTCCATCTCTTTGTTCTACGTGAAATCTTCTGGATGGTGGGGACGAAGCCGTTTCACCTCCAAATTTCTCTAATTAGTTTTTATCTGAAGAAAAAGTTGAGAGACTCAAAAGTGGTTGTATGTAATTAATAACTGTTAAATCTCAGCGCACAAACACACAGCACTACAAACATATACCGTCTGTGAGGTGGATAGGGTTGTGTTGTTGCGGAAAATAGAACGTGCCTAACAAAGGCCCAATGGGACCATAGGTAACTGTGTCACTGGGGGAAAGTGTGTCGTAAACTTTCACCCCATTGTCAGGGCTAGGAGAGCGTGAGCCCTCTGTGCAGTGTTATTTTTTTCAAGTCTTCTACCTTTTTACTAGAGGGTTTCATTAAGGAGGGACGGTGGGAACGGGCTGGTTGATTGCTGAGCCCTAAAGACATTTGATTAGCTGTTAGGTTACTATAGTTGTAAGCGGTGACAACAATGATTGGATAAACGAGCAAGCCGCCCAGTTGATCACTCTGTGTTCATCGCGGGCGATCAGAACAGTTTCAACTGCTTATTTCGTTATTTTCATTTGCCTTGGGATAGACTTGGAGGGTGGGGAGGGGGGCTCAAGCCCGTGAGCCCTTCACTACCCACCGCCACTGGTACCAGTATATTTACACCTACTAAGGAATTTGCTTTTGCACCCACGACTTTTTCATGGTTTTCAAATAGATCTACACCTTGTTTATTGATCACTCATTTGTTAATAGCTACTTCTCCTACCGTTGAATGAATATTTCTATCTTACGCCAAACTGCGTAGTGTGTAACCGCAACTTAATGATTATGCATTTGGGTAATTCTCTGAAGAACAGCGACTGAATACAATT